AATTAGTAAAGTCCTCTTGTGGAGGATCAGGATTAGGCTCTGAAACACCCTTAAAAGCAAATTCATTTAAAGCAATATTCCACCTTTCATTTTCCGAATGATTACCAGTTCCTTCAAACTTAAACTTCTGGTGATTAGCAAGGTTTAACTGTTGTCCTAACTCATCATGAATAAGTTCGGCATAAGTATAACCTTGAAAAATCTTGCTTAAATATTCATTAGTTAAAGTGTTGAGGTTATTAACATTACTTAAAGAAGCAAACTGGGAACAAATAGAGACTAAATTAGGATTTATCTCTTCTTTTAGTCTGCGGGCTACTTCCTGATAATTGGCTTGGGTAGCAAAAGTAGGCTTAAACTTCATTTGTTCCATTATAGGTTTCATAACTGTTAGCATATAATTCTGAAAGTCTTTGATTCCTTTTCAGTCTGGAGTGTTATCAGCTTGGCGAGGAACAATAGAAGCCAAAATCATTAAGGTTTTTTTTTGCATATTACCCTCAACTTCTTGATTAAACTTATCTACTTGTGGAACTTCTTTAAATGGTGGAAAGCCAGTTTGATTGTTTACTAACTTTATCTTTTCATCTAATTCGGCTAAGGAATTGATTTTTCATCATTTGATATGGGGGACATATTGGGTTAAGAATTCAATAGTGGCTTGTTGGTTATCTATTCCCTTAGAAGATTTTATTTGATTGATTTTAGTTTGGGCTACTTCTTCACTAGGGAGGTATTGAATAGAAGGATTATCAGGGTTTTGACTGGATTGATTAGAATTATTTTTGGTAAAGAAGCAAATGCCGAAGATTATTCCTAGAACCAAGACTATTCCAACTATTATTCAGACTAAATTACTGTTTTTTTTTTTTTTTTTGTTAAATTCATAGAGCATTTATGCTTTTATGTTACAAAGCCTTTAATAATTAGTATTGTTGAAGAAAGAAGTTGGTACATGAACTTGGTGAGCCTCGACTACTCCTGTGCGATTTGGGCTTTCATGGGAAACATCAAATATATTGCCTAATAAATTCCGCCCAATTGGTTCCACCAAGGAAATACTTTGTTTGTGCTGTTGCAGCCCTTTTTTCTTATCTCTAACAAACGGGAGTATGCTTTCATAAAACTGTCTGTCACTACTTGCTTTTTTTGTTCTTTCTTTTAATAGAGAGGACGAATAAGGAATTTCTAAACTAACTTCTTGATTAGTTCCTCGACCTGCCTTTTTCTTCTCGACTTTACTCTTTTCTTTTTCTTGCTTGACTTTTGTTTTCTCTTCATCAACATCAGTTTCTATTTCTCTGAGTTCCCTTATTTCGGTATGAATATCATATGATTCTAAATTCTTGTAAACTCCTTCTTTAATGACTCTTTTTGTACTACCATCAAGATGTTGTCAACATTCAACATAAGTGAAAGGCACTTCTATTATAGCTCTTTTAATTATTACAACTCCTCTACCTTCTTTTTTAGATGGGACTTCTATGATTGTTTCAGCTCCTATATCTTCTTCTTCTCCTTTGGATCCCCCTCATTCATGAGAGAGATTTAGATTAGCCGAAATGCTAACTTTTCCTTCTGCTAAGAAAGGAAGCCCGGCTTTAACTTCTGTCCCCATTCCTATTTCTATGCCAGTTAAATTATTTCAAGTTCCTACTGATGATTTCCTAAAGTTATATTTTACAGTTATTGTTGATTTTTCTTCAGAATAGTTTTTCAAGTATCCCGTAATACAAATAATTGGACTTTTTTCTTCTTTTGTAACCTTATCTACTTTATACCTTATGTCACTAATACTTCTTGTACTGGCTCCTATTATAGTAAGTTTACAACTATCATCAGCTCATCTCTTTCTAGCTTCTAGTTGTTTTTTATCTTTATTTCTACCAAGAAAATAATTATTGTCAGCCTTTAAAAAGATAACATTTCCAGCATTTTGTATAACTATAAACTGGCAATGCGGACACTCTTCTATCTTTTTTTTTTCTATGTCTGCAAGTTCTACTTTATTATCATCATCAACAGAAAACCATCGGCCATTGTCTGCTTGTAATCCTATTTCATTTTTCCCTAGCCCTTTGACTCTAAACATGCAACTTTCTTCACAAACTGTCTTGGAAAAAGTTAAATTTTTCTCATTTTCTCGACCAAGATATTTTTTATTACTTGACTGAATAAAAACATATTTAGGAAGGAGAATTTCTTTGCTTTTTCCTTTTAAAGATTTTCTAGCTTCTTGTTTGATTTTATCTAAAAAATCTGATGCACCTTTTAAATCAGTATTTTCTTTTTTATTTCTCTTTTGTATTTTATTAGGAAAGACTCCTAATAAATATTCTAATTCTTCTTTTGGCCAAGAATTAAGATCTGGATATTTTTTGCCTTCCCACTCTTCTACAACTCTTAAAATATTGTCATCAGTTTGAAAAATTTTTTTTAATTCTTTTTTTTTCTGCTGGATTTTCTCTATTTCCATTTTCTGCTCAATTAATTCTAATTCTTTTTTGCTAAGGGCAACATTAATTTTTTCCTTGTGCTTGTGAGAATCAGTCAAATTTTGGAATTTGTTAATTAATTCAGTTTTGGAGTTCTCTAATTCATCTCCTTCCTTTACTTCATCTTCTAATGTACGCAAAAGTTGCTCTGTATCTAAAAATAACTTATTAATTTGCTTTCCATAAGCAATCGATTGTTCAGTCTCTTTTTTGCTTTTTATCAACATAAATATTTCTTTTTGCAATCTGAACATTTCTCTTAATTTTTTTTCATCCTCAAATGCAATATTTTTTAATATCTCTTCCTTTCATTTTTCTATCTCTGATTGAGGCTCATTGTTCTTAATGAGTTTGGCGTGTTTTTTCAGTAGATCATCTAGGTCTAATTCTTCTTTCTTGGTTTCTTTGTCCTTTTTTAAACTTTCCTCAAGTTCGTTTTTTGTTTTCTCCAAACTAATTCTCTTTTCTAAATTATCTAGATTGTTTTTTAGTTCATCAAATCTGTCAGACCCAGGTTTTTCTTTTTCTCAAGCATTTTTGATTTCTTTGCATTTATTAAAATATTCAGTAAAACTATCTAAATTAAACTTCTCTTCCACTAACTCATTCCCTAAAGGTTTGATTACTTTTTTAAAAAGAGATTCCATTTCATCCATAAAATCTTGATTATCAACATTTTCACCAATTATTTTTGTTTGTTCTTCAATCCATTCATTCATTATACTTTTTAATTTCTCTTTCATTTCATTATACTTTTTGATATTTTGATTATCTATTTGCACATTTTCGCTGTTATTTACCATATTTTTTATTACTTTTATTGTTATATTTCCTCAGCAAATCAAAGATTGTTATCCTGAATCCACTGAGTTCAGAAAAGCAAGATTATTAGATAAAAAAACGACAATAACCTCTTTTCTAAAAAAATAAAAGCAATTATTTAGAAAACTAGCAATTAATTTTTGCTCTCTCTCTCTCTCTCTCTCTCTCTCTCTCTCTCTGCTGATAGGAGTGTTTAAAGAGTAACTTCATTTCATATATAATTATTATTTTAAATACTAAATCTTTATTCAGATTAAATTTATAAATATATATGCCTATGGTCAGAAGAGAGAGATATTTACTAGTGTAACTTTTTAAAGTTTTCCTTTCTCGTTAAAATACTTTAAAAAGTAAATGGAGAAAAATCGAGACCATCGGACTATTGCTAAGGGATTAGAATTATACATTTTGGACGAAAAGGTCGGCCAAGGTTTGCCAATTCTGCTACCTAATTGAGTAATTATTCGCAATCAAATCGCTAATTTTTTACAAAAAAAGCAACAAGAATTTAATTTCCAAGAAGTAATGACTCCTATTTTAGGGAGCGAAAATCTATACCAAACTAGCGGTCACTTAGCCCACTACCAAGATTCTATGTTTCCAGCCATTAGTCGAAACAATGAAACATTGTATTTACGACCAATGACTTGTCCGCATCACTGCCTAATTTACCAGCAAAAGCCACGTTCCTACCGAGACTTGCCTTTTCGTTTGTGCGAAAACTCAATTTTACACCGCTATGAGGCTTCCGGAGGGCTAAAAGGTCTGGAAAGACCTCGTTGCTTCGAGTTAGCCGACCACCACATTTTTGTTTCACAGGAACATTTAAAAGAAGAAGTTAAAAAAAACTACCATTACATTACCGACTTTTTGGCCAGTTTTAATTTCCGGGTTTCTCGTTTAGTTTGTGCTCTGCATGACCCGAAAAATTTAGAAAAATATCATTCCGATCAAAAGATTTGAGAATTTTCAGAAAATCTTTTAGTTAATTCCCTAAATGAGTTAGAGTTAAAATATGAAACTTTAAAAGGTGAAGCAGCCTTTTACGGACCAAAATTAGATATTGAGGTAGAAGCAGCAGACGGCAAAAATATTACTATTTCTACTATTCAATTGGACTTTGTCTTGCCCCAAAAATTTGGTTTAAATTATATTGACAAAGAACAAAAATTGCAAACTCCAGTCATTATTCACCAGTCTCCTTTTGGTTCCTATCAGCGTTTCATTGCCTTACTACTGGAGCAGACAAATGGCAAATTGCCTTTTTGATTGGCTCCTTGCCAAGTAGTTATTTTGCCTTTTAATGAAGAAAAAAAAGTTAAAAATTATTGCCAAAGATTATCCGAAGGACTAAAGGAGATTGGTTTACGAGTAAAAATATTTTCTAAAAAAAAATGGAAAAGTTATATTCCTCAAATATATCAAAAAAAAATCCCTTATTATTTAGTAGTAGGAGAGGAAGAACTAGATAAAAAAATATTAAAACTAATACATACTTATAAAGAAGGAGAGATAGAGGAGTTAAGCGAAGAAGAATTATATAATAAATTAAAGGAGAAAAATAATAATTATGAATTACAATAATAAAGAAACTCCAATAAATATTGGATATCCACTAGACCCAGGAAATCGAGAGAGGTATCAGGAGGGAATAGATTATAAAGTTGAGAACATAGGAGTTGGTCGTAAAAGGTATAGTATTCTTTCAGATAAATTAAAGGAAGATCTTCGGAGATGGAATAATGGACACGATTTTGAAAATATTATTGAGGAAACAATTGGCACAATACCGCTAGAAAATTCTGAGGAACTGGAGAGGAAAATCAGGGAAGAGAATGAAAAAAAGCGACAAAAATTTATTGTCGATAATAATCTACCTCAAATTAAAGAAACTTTATTTTATGAACTTAACAAGCAAGAAAAATTATTCAATAGCCAACAATCTCCTTTGACCGAGTCCGAAAAAGCAATTTTGAACGACCCGATTTTAAAACACGGATGCGACTTGGACGAAGCATTATCTTGAATTATAGGAGTTCGAAAGGCCAGTTCTAATATTTTTCCCGATGAAGACTTTAAATGAGGGTTATTTTTACATGAAGATATGAAAAATCCTAATTCTAGCAAATACAAGGTTAATCAGGCTTTTAAAAATGCGGGTATTTCGTTAGACAAATGGAAAGAAAGAGTAGAAAAAGGACAAAAAATTGAAGCCAAAAGGCTGGCAGAAAAACCTCAAAAGGATAAAGAAAAAATTTTAACTAATATTCAGGATTGAGAAATCCGTGGAGAATATATATACAATCCTAAAACTGGTCATTGAAAATCTGGCACTAACAATATGTGAACAGGCGGAGATGATAGATATTCCCATTTTTCTGAATATGATGGGGTAAAATTAACTCCTGAAACTTATAAGGAAGTTAGAAGAATTATATTTAGCAACCTTTTAAAAAATCTTCACTATGAAAGCGAAAATCAGTGTTTAAGAGATAATAAATCAGGGAAAGAATACGGAGAAAGGGAATTCGCTCCCGACGAATGAAAAGAAATTACTCAACTATACAGTAAAGAGGGAATTGCCTTTCCTTCCTCAGATTTATCGACCAAAAATCCTAACAATAGTTACTATAAGTATTACATTATCGGGGGAATAATAGTTGGTTTAATCTTGTTTGGAATGTTACTAATGAAAGTCTGAAAAATACGAACAAAAGAAAATAAGTCATGATAATCAAAAAAAGAAAAAAAATTGAAACTAATTTTATTCCTCTTCTCAATGAGAGAATTCCTTTTCCTCAGATTTTATTAGTTAGAGAAGAGGTTAAAAAAATTGTTACTCGTCAAGAAGCATTAACCCAAGCCAAAGAAGCCGGCTTAGACTTGATTTGTGTTGCTCCCTCGGAAAGCCCACCAGTTTGCAAACTAGTTAATTATTACAGGCTAAGCAAAGAATTAAAAAAAAACAGGAGAAAGGGAAAAGAAAAAAAAGAAAAAGAATTTAAACTTTCTTTTGGTATCAAAAAAAAAGACCTCGAAACAAAATTAAACCAAATCTGTGCTTGGGTTGAAAAAGGTTCTTCTGTAAAAGTTAACTTAGTCAGGAAAGGAAAAGAGAGAATTCCAGAAAAAAATGAAATAGCCTTGAAAAAATGCCATGATATAGTTTCTGAATTGCAAAGCAAATTTCCTAAAATAGAGTTAAAAGATGGCATTCGCCATCATTTAGGTAATCCTTACTTTTTACTTTACAAAAAAAAGCAATAGTTCCTCTTTAGATTACTCCAACGCTACTATTCTTTCTTTTTAATTTTTCCAACCTTTCAATTCTATTTTCCAGAGTAGGATGGGTACGAAATAAATCTAGTAGGCCCCGATGTTTTTTTTCTGGGTTAAACTTTAATAAGGAAATGGAATTAGGTTCTCCTCCTTGGGTGTTTTCATCTTCAGTTAAATCTATACCATCTACAATTCAACTTTTATTTTCCAAAGCCAAGAGTTTCCGGAGAGTTGCTAGCATATCGTCTACTCCTACTATTTCAGCTCCTTTTAAATCAGCCGCATATTCTCGTTTACGATTATACCAGAGAATGATAACAATTCCGATTAAACGAAAAATGCTTGCAATTATATGAAAGAGAATCATAAGAAAAAATCGTTTGATAATTTGACCGGCACTTGTTTCTTCATCTTCCCTTCTCTTGTCCGGCTGAAAGAGCCACCAATAAAGTAAAAAAGTGAATACTCAATATATAAAATCAAATATTCCTTGGATTATTAAAATGTTTCTGATGTCATGATGAATAAGATGAGAAAGTTCGTGGCCCACTACTCCCCTGATTTCTTCTATACTCATGATATTAACTAAATTACTAGAAAAGGCAATTAAAGTTCCGTTTGCTGGTCCAGTAGCAAAGGCATTAACCTCGCTAGAAGGATAAACACCTATTTCAGGCATTTTTATTTTGTAAAGGCGAGAGACTTCTCGCACAATTCGCACTATTTCCTTTAATTTAGCAGATTTACCAAGGTCTCGACGGTTGTCAATTCGTTGCACATTCTTTAATCATCTTGCTAGTCACCTAGAAAGATAGTAAGAGATAAATGAAGAAATGATGATAAGGGCGATAACTATGCAGGATGATATCCAAAAAACCGTTCATTTAGTCGACATATAAGAAATATTTTATAAGTCTTAATTGTAAAATATCCCTATCCTCCCAATAAAATTTGTATAATAAAACTATATTAAAAAGAAAAAGAACAAAAAACTATGGCCAAAAAAATATTTATCAAATATCAAATATTTCTGTGCCAATAAGGCACAAAAAAAATAGAGAGAGTAAGAAAAAAATAGTATAAAAAAAGAAACTTCTCCCTTTCGCACTAGCCAAGTATTTTACTAAAAAGCAAGAATCTGGTTGAATCAGAGTAAAAATTAATAATAAGATAATAATAATTCCATGGTTAAAAATAATTCTGAAAAGCAAAACTTTAAAAAATATCTCCAAGAAATTGAGAAACCTAATTATGATGGAAAAGACATCTCCCAAGCCCTGCCGGCTAATGCTTCGCCCATTGACAAAGCCAAATATCAGATTTGCGAGAAAATATTATCCTATCAGCAAGATAATAATTTGCCCATTGAAGAAGTGGCTCACAAAATCCAATTAACTACGGCCGAAACCAAAGATATTTTTCATTATCACTTGAACCTTTTTACTTTGGAAAGATTAATTACATATGCCAATCGTTTATTATCTCCCCGGGAAATAGAAGTAATTATTAACGAAAAGAAACCAGTTAAGAAAAATTTTCATGCCCGAACTGTTTAAATTAATTGAGGAAAATGAAATTGATAACGAATGACACTGGACTTATTCAGTAGAGCTTGAATTTATTTTTAATAATTTGATAATTGATTACATAACTATTACCGACCATCCTTGGAAAAAGAAAGGGAGAGAGGGAATTACTAAGGAGTTAATTCTCAATATTTTCCGAACCGAAGTAAATGGTAAGAGATTTTTCCCTACTGATTACCAAGGAATGAGAAAAGTTTTTTTGCGGGAAGGAGTTCCTTTTGGAGATAAGAAATATAAATTAGTTTTCTGATTTAAGGACGGAACAGATAATCATTTATGAATTAGAAATTGCCACGAGCAGGGTTAAAATTTTTCTTATTTTGACCCACACAATTATCACAAGTAAGTTTAAGGTGCTTTTCTCCTTTATTGAATTGAATAATCCCATTAAGAAATAGGCTCAAAGTTCCGTTAACTCCTTTATCTAATAGTTCATTTTCATCTAGGACATAATTAATTTGTTCTCCATTTAGTTCATTTTGTATTCCGAATAAATGGACTTTTCGAGCCGTAAGAAAATACATTTGACTAGGTTGCTGGTCGAAGTGAGGGACTTGAATATTTTGAGACCAATCAAAACTATAATGAGCGATAATATTATCCTCCTGCTCTCTTACTATTCTAGTGTTTTCATTGTAATAATTCCCCTCTAACTGGGCTTGAATTAAGTGTCGGTCAAATTTTTTTTTTGGGTGGCTTTCTCCCTTTCATCTTTACAAGAATGGATTTCACTTCTAAACCTATGACAAGTATCACATAAATCAGAACGAGGAGACATAAAAGCAATTTGAGGAGTTAATTGTTTTCATATTTTAATAAAGACACGATATCTTAATTGCTTTAAATTACTATCTGCTTCTAAACTGTTTAAAAAGTCCTCATGGACTGATTTATAAGTCATTTCAGCAGGTAAAAAGATGGTTGTGCTATCACTTCCTTTGCTTCTACCTGGATTAGGCAAGCCATGAGTTTCTGTGTAATCTAGGATAAATCTCTTTACTTCCTCTTTGATGTTTTCATCGATTACCATCTTGGTTTTTCTTATAGGTATCTTTCCAGTGTTGCCATGAACCCTAGTTGATAGTCCTTTATCTAATAAATGACTTTTGATACTTTCAAAATACTTAAGACTTATGCCTAACATGTTGAAGTAAGTTTCTTGGCAAATAGGTATTCGGTTATTTCAATGATAAGAAACTCGGTAATTGGTTCTTTCTATTTTAGGAAAGCGAGAACTGGTAGTAGTTTCTCCCTCACCCATGGAAATAAGGTTAGCCATTACAAAAGCATCTTGTTCGGGTTTGGAAAGAGATTGAAAATCTTCTCTTAACTTGGCAAACTTTTCTTTGGGTAGGACAGAAAAGCAACCGCAATCACAACCATCCTCTAAAAATTGAAGTGCTTTTTGGTATTCAGTAAAATTATTTATATACTTACGAGTTTCTTTCATAAATATATTTTACTTACTTTTTATCTTTTTAATAATACATTACTCAAATCTTCTTTATCTCTTTCTGCTAGAAGTAAAGTTATTAATAAAAGTGGTAGTAATTATTTAAGTGAAAATACAGAGGGTTATGGACCTTGCAGAAACTCTCTCTGTGGCTGCCTTTGTTATTCGGACAAGTGCGTTTGTGCGAATTATAGTTCATCGAATGAAGGAGAGTGAGGGAGTAGCCTTACAACTTCCGGTAGAACATGAAATGAGGAATTTGAACCAACAAATTTAAGTGGAGTAGCGTTTAGAGCAGCAGGAATAAAATACTTAGGAGTAGGCGGTCAAGTTAGTAATTCATTAATCAGTTGTAAGGATTTTAGTGGCGAACTTAAAGTTTTAAGTGGCACCGCCGGAGGTGAAATCAATTCTAGCAGTATCAAGGGTAAATTAAGTGCTGATTTGCTTAATATTAAGACAGATGGAATTCAAATGAGGGCCGGAATTTCTGCTGATACAGGAATATCTCTCGAAGATGGTTTTGAGGCTAAATTAGCCGGTTTTGGTTTCAGTGTTGGAAAGCAAACTGGAATAAGCACTCCGCTTGGAGAGATAAAAAATAAGATTAAAGAGATAAATTGGCGATGGGTAAATTAATCTTATCGCCAAGGCAGTAAAAAAAGAAATATAGTAAAAATATGGCTTTGTGAGAAGGTAAAGTTCCTAGTTTAGTTGTCTTGCCCCTATTTTTCCTTATCCTCTTTATCATAGTTTATCATTTATATTACACTTATAAAGTGATAACTGCTAAATGTCAGGATTGTAGTAAAAAAATAAAAGGTCAGTGAGGGAGAAAAATAGTTTACATTTATACTCCGTGAAGGAAAATAAAGTTTATTTGTTTGGGTTGTCAAAAAAAACTAGGGGAGTTTTTTTGAACTCCCATTAATAATTCAAAAGAGTTTTTGAATTATTTTAGATGATAGAGACTTAAACTCATTTAGAAATTCGTTTTTATTTCTTTTTCCAATAGTTGGGCTAACTTTAAAACTTCCGCGTCTTTTCCGTAGGCACCATTAATATTAATACTTACTGGAAGTTTATTAATAAAACCTATTGGCAGATTTAAGGAGGGCAGTCCAGCGAAATTAGCTATTAGTAATAGATTATCACTTCAATGAGTTTTGCTTCCGACAAAAAAGAAACTGCTACTTTCAACTCTCGGTGCTTCACTGTTTGGGCTAGGAAAGAGCAAAAAGTCATACTCAGAAAAAATTTTCTTGGTCCAATTTTGAACCTTTTGACGAAAGAAACAGGCATGATCGTAGACTTCCTTTTTTTGAAGAAAATAACTTCCTAGTGTTAAACGCTGGAATACTGATTTTCCTAAACATTCGCTTCTGACTTGCTGAACTGTTTCTTTCGTATCTCCCATCTTTTTTCCAAAAGTTATTCCTTGACAGGAATTCAAATGGCTAACTAACTCTCCGGAACAAATAATTAGGTAGGCCAATTGGAGATTTTCTCGAATTTCTGAGGGGATTTGGATAGTTCCGAATTGACATTTATTTTTTTTCAAGATATTAATTGACTTCTGATACAGTCCAACAAATTTAGGGGATAAGTATCTTTCTACTTCTCTTAAAATAGCCACTTTCTTAACAGTCGAAAAAGAAATAGGCTTAATATCGTTTTTTTTGGAAGCAATAGTCAAAAGATCGTTCGGGTCAGGTTGAGAGATTATCGAGAAAACTTTTTTTACCGTGGCTACTGAATCGGCTAGAATTCCTACCGTATCCAAAGAGGAAGCCATGGGGATTAGACCATATCGAGAAATTGAACCTTGCGAAGGCTTAAATCCAATTACTCCACAGTAAGCAGCAGGTTGTCGAACTGAGCCTCCAGTATCACTACCTAAAGAGAATAAAGCCTTTTTTTTGACTACTGCTACCGCTGATCCTGAGGAAGAACCGCCGGTAATATGCCGAAAGTTATGGATATTAGTAACTATTCCGGTGTTCGCCAGCAATCCAGTTCCGCCGCAAGCAAACTCATCCATTACCGTCTTTCCAGACAAGTTTAATTTTTTCCTTGTCAGAAGTCTGATTACAAAAGCGTCTTGCCCAGGAATAAAATCAATAAGAAAGTTGGAAGAAGCAGTAGTGAAAAGATTCTCGGTTCAGAAATTATCTTTTACAAAATATTTTTCTTTTCCGGCAAACCTAGGAGGAAGAGAGTAAGTGAAATAATTTTGAAGAGAATGACTTTCTTTTTTACTACTTTTAAAATTTTGCTTGCATAATTTTCTAATAGATTTCAGATCGACAATTTTAAAAAGTTCCTTTACCTCTTTCTCCATAATGTTCATTTTTAAGTCCTAATTAAAATCTTATTCAACGAGAAAATGAAGATTTCTTTCTTGGGCCAGTCTTTGTAATTTTTTAAATACTTCTTGTTTGAGCCTTCTAACTGCATTTTCAGTCTTGTTAAGCAACTCAACTAGTTCCGAGGACTTGTATTTTTTAGTAAACTGTGCTAAATATTTTTTAGCAACTACTAGACTTCTATTCTCTTCATCTTCTAAGGAGTATTTTTGAAGCAAACTAGGGTTAAATTTTTTTCCTAACTTCATTTCTTTTTTTAACATTTCTTTCTCTTCCTCAGTTGCCACACAATACACATCAAATAAATTAGTGGGTTCTATTTTATGCCACGATCTGGCCAGCAAAATTTCCTCTCGGCTACCTAGAGAATTAATTAGATTATTGATTTGGACTGTAGTATCTCTTTGGCAAACTTGTCTCATGTCGTGGTCAATATTTTCACTATCATTCAAATTTTCCGCCAAGGAATAAGGCCTACCGTCCTTGTCACCTTCCCGATAACTTCCATCATAGAAAACTAGATTTTTTTTTTCTTTAGAACTGGCACCTTGGTTAATAAATTGATTTTTTTTAATAAAAGTTTGGAAGTATTGCTTGACTCAAGAAATAGCGTAAGTAGAGAAACCCCAGGGCATTTTGAGATCAAATTTTTCTATAGCTTTTGGTATAGAACTAATTCCCTCTTGAACCAAATCTTCATAATCAATTTTTCCTCCGAAAGAAGAATATCCTCTCGCAATATATTTAACTATCTTTTTGTTGTACCAAACCAGCAAACGGATGGCATTTGCTTTAGCCCTTCCTTTGCCTTCTTTGGCTATCTTTAATAATTCTCTTTCTTGTTTGCGAGTAAGATTAGGTATTACTTCTTCGTTGTTGTTTAATTTAGGCATTAATTTTTAGTATAAATTCCTTAATGACATCTATCTCTTTAAAAACTGAATTGATGTTCTTGTTTCCAGGAAGAGTTGCATATTCTTTTATAAAGGGACCACTTTCTGACTCTTTAAAAGCATTATTATAAAAAGAAGCCATATAATAATTATATATTTTATAGTAATTTTCTCGGTCGCTTTGGTTAAGAAAAAAATGATTTTTTTTGCTAATAAGCAACCAACATGAACGCTTCTGAGAACAGAAAGTCAGTATTTTTTTTTCTTTAATACCAATTATTTCTCGACAATGAGCAGTTTTTCAATAAAAAGCATTAAGGGCAGGAAAATTTCAGCGAATAAAGTAAGGTTCTATTTCTTCTCTATCTCATTTTATTAAATGACTTATTTTTTCAACAAGAAAACTTCGAACGTTTACTTTGAAATTTTGGAAAATTCTAGCAATCTCGACAATAAAACGGCTAACCCTTTGAGGGTTATCTTGAACTTCCCACTTATCAAAGCAATAATTAAGGATGAATAAATAAGGATTTTCTCTCTGGCAGAGAATATTTTCTACTACCTTTTTATCTTGCTGTCGGCAAATTTCGTCGGGATCACCTTTGTAATTATTTCTTACTATCTCGCAATCAATCTCCTTTAATAATAATTTAACTGCGATGTTAATGGTAGCTTCTTGCCCAGCTTTATCATTGTCCAAAAAGAGAACAATTGTCTTTTTTAATTCAGCAATAAGTTTAACTTGCTCCTCAGATAAATTAGTCCCTAATAGAGATAAGCAGTTTTCTATTCCCAATTTGCTTAAACTAATTACATCAAAAAAACCTTCAACTAGGTAGCACTCCTCTGTACGGAGTTTTTTTACCAAGTGGTAATTGTATAATAAAGAAGACTTGTGATAATGCTGATAACTAGGTAAATATTTATATTTTGGCTCATCGGTTGAAATACTTTCGATTTTCCGAGCCGCAAAGGCTACTATCTTCCCCCCTGAATTTTCTAAGGGTATGATTAAATGCTTAGAAGGAAAAAAATCGTATACTTGGTTGTTGTCAATTATTCGAACAAGATTAGTAGCAAGTAAGTCCTCAGAAGAGAAATTATCATTTTTTTGAAAAAAAAGTAAGTTACCTAGTTGCCGGTTACCAATGCTGCAACCCAAGTTAAAGCGGTTAATCATTTTCTTATCTATCTGTCGCTCATTTCGAAGATAGTTCAGCACCTCTCGACCAGAGTGAGTGAGTAAATTATGCCGATAGATGTCAGTTGCTAGCGAAAGCAAATAAAAGAATTTGCTTTTAAATTTTTGTTCTAGTTTCTTTTTCTCTTGTAAAATTGATAGAGGAAAATAACCCATTTTACCAATTTCCTCTACCGCTTCTTTAAGGTCGATTTTTTTATACTGGGCTCAAAAGTTAAATACATCGGCAGCCTTAAAGCCGCAAGTAAAGCAGGTAAATATTCTACGGTTAGGTTCAAAACTTAAACTAGGGTTTTTATCACTGTGAAAAGGGCAAAGAAAAAAAATGCTTTTTCCCATTTGCTTGGGAGCGAAGTTGAGTTTATTAATTAACAAATTTAAAATATCATTTGTATTTAATAAATCTTTGTATTTCATTAGCAAATTTTACAATCCGAGAGGAAAAATCAGAGGAGAGAAATTAGGTAAAAATAGGAGACTTTTTAATAATCTGAATTATCAAAAGAAGCCTAGAAAAAATTTCACTTTTGTCACTGTCAAATGAATTTTTAACGCCTTTTCAGTGCTTTTTGTTTATTTTACTGACTTCCCCTCTTTCAATTTGATAGTCTTTTCCTCGTCAGGATAATAAATTCCTTTGGAACCTTTGGAGGTCCTATAAACACTTGGCACATGCAAAGGCCTAATTTTATTGGCGATAAAGTTTCTAACTTTTTGCTTATCCAAACCTTTGACTGTTATTTTATTTCTCTCAACTTTTACTTCTAGGTCTTCGGGAATGTCCACATAAATCAAATGGGATTTACCCAAAGAAAACTCTATTTTTTTTTCTTTTAAAGTTACCTTAAAACCTACTCCTTTTACTTCCGCGATATCTTCATATCCCTTCACTACCCCTTCTATAAGATTAGATATTAAGGAATTATAAGTTCCGGCTAAAGCAGTATTTTCTGATTTAGTAAACAAATTACCTTCTTTATTGGTAATCTCTAACTGGTGAGGAATGGTTAATTCTTTCTTTCCCAAGGGTCCTTCGGCAAAAATTTTCCCCTCGTCTAAGTTAATTTTCACATTTGAAGGTATTGGAATAATCCGGTTAGCAATTTTTGACATATATTAATTTTTTATTTCTATTTTGGCTTCTAACTGTATCGATTGTAATTCTTCTAAATGCCTTTCTAAAACATTTATCTCTTGCTTTTTAGTTAGAATAAGTTCTATTTCTAAATGGTCCGATAAGGCGATTTGTAGTTCAGTTAACTTTTCTAAGTTAAGGTTTTCAGCAAGGATTTGTTCTAATAAATAACTTTCAGCTCTATTAAGTTTACTTTTAGTTCTAGTAATTAATTGGTTTAATTCTTCTTTTTTCTTCGGAATTTGGATAATTAAATCAGTAATTTTTAAACGGATAAGTTCGCTTTCTCAGTCTTGGGAATTATCCACAGAACTGGAAAATAGTATCTGGTTAACTTTCTCAAACTTATTTTTTTCTTTCTCTACTTGGGGAAGTTTAAGTAAATTAGTTAATTTCTTATGTTCAGTTTCACTAAAAGGAATATTAGTATAAATGCTTTTTAATCAAGTGCTATTATTATAATTTATTGGAGAAACTGAATTACTTTCTCCTTGGTAATAGTGATAAGTTTTTTGCCCTCCTAGGATAATTAAACTCCCTATTACCGCATGCCTGATTTTGGTTTTTCAAGAGAGTTGGTGGTTTAAGTTTTTTTCTAATTTTTTTTGTTTTCTGTCTTTTTCTCTACTTTCTTGCCTAACTTTCTCTGCCTGCTCTTTCAAATCACTAAAACTAATATTCCTAATATCGCTATTACTGGGAAACAGTATGGTGGCTAAGTCCCTTAATTGGGACCGAAAGTTAGTTTTAGTCTGATTATGTTGTTGCTGTTCTTGGGCTAATTCTGTTTCTAAGCGAGTTTTGATTTGTTCTAATCGTTGGAGACTAGTTTTTAAGCGTTCTATTTTAGCAGCTTTTTCGCTTTCTTGGGTTTTAACTCTTTCTAGTTCAGTTTTAGTTTCTTGGATTTTGGTTTTTAAATCTTGGACTAATTGAGTTTTATCGGAATATTTTTCTTTTCAGACCGTTAGCATTTTTTCCGGGTGAGCGAGTTGTCAAGCTTCTAGGTCGTAGTTGAAAGGTCTTAATTGGTCTTGGATAGTTTTACATTTAGCGTTAGTGTTGTGGGGGGAGCAATCTATTCTATTGCGTCCTCATAAGCACCTGGATAAATACTCCAAACCACTATCTATATCAGTGACTTCGATACATATTCTTTCTAGTCTAGTTAAGTTTTTTCAAGCCTTGAAAGAACCGTAGAATTGGTTGTTAATTCCTATTCTCAACTCTCTTAAATTAACAAACTTACTAAAAATGGAAATGTTAGTAGGTTGGATTTTGTTGGCAAGCAAAAATAAATCTTCTAACTTTTCAGGATTAGGTAATTGGTTTAAGAACTCTGCCGAGGTTAGTTTATTACTAGCCAAACGTAAATGTTTTAACTTTTTACATTCTGATAAGTTTATTGAAGTTAGATCATTACCACTTAAATTTAAGTCTTTCACATTTTTATATTCCCTCAAATCCAAATCATAATTGGTGAAGTTTCTGCTTCCATGCTTTGCATCGTCTCCATATTTAACATCAGCATCAATCACCACCACCTCCTTATCCGGAAAATCTTTTTCAAATTGTTCTTGTAATGTTGTCATAATAGTATAATTTTGTTAATTAATAAAAAAGATAACTTTACCCCCGAGATTTTTTTCTAGGGCCTCCCGGTGGGTTAGTAATCCCGCTGAAGTAGAAATAATATAAAAGCCATGATTTTTACAAAACTTTTTTATTTCTTTGGCTCTTAAATGAATATGTTGGGAAGGCTTAGAAATCTTTTTTAACTGATGAATACGGCTGTGCTGGTTATTATATTTAATATCAACTTTGATTTTTCTATTCTTTTCGTCAAATCAGCACCGAGAAAGGAAATTTTTTTCCTCCAACTTTTTACATATTCTTCACTTAAAAGCGGAGTGAGAAAAGGAAGCAGTGTGGTAACCCCGCATATTAGCATTGCGGATGGTTGTTAGCATATTAGCAACTGGGTCAGATAATGTCATATATTTATTATTATTTTTTAATCATTACTTTACTAATTTAATAAATGATAATAATTTATCGTTTTTTTTTTCTAAAGCCTGGCAACCGTCCCTGATAAATTCATTCTCGAATACTAATCCGACAAAGTCGCGTCCGTAGTTCTTTATAAAAACGATAAAGGCGAAAATTTCCCCGTGCACGTCCACATTCTAAGCAACGTGGATGATCTCTAGTAGAGAACTTAGGAGGTTTATTTGATTTAACGATTAACGACTCTCGTGCCATGCTTAATTTGCGTCCTCTTCTTCTGTAAACATCATTATTAAATTGTATAAGCCTACTGCTAATAAAATAAGTCCTAAAATGATAAAACCTGCTTTGCAAATATTAATAACCATTTCGGCAGTTTTAACATCTTTCACTAAATCTACTTCATTCTCTTTAACTGTAAAAAATTGGTAAACAACGTTCCTTAAGAAAATAAGGGGAATGAAACATAATGATCCGGCTACTAAAAAACCGATTGTTTTTGCTATTCTTTTTTTATTCATATTTATTATTTTACAATTCTAACCTTGCCTTTGCTTGTGCTTAGGATTTGCACGGCAATAAACGTAAAGCCGTCCTTTTCTTTTGATTATTTGACAACCTCTCCGCCCCTCACACATTTTTTTGATGGAACTACGAACTTTCATAATAATAGTTAAATAATAGTTATTTTAATAATGTTTTTGTTGCTTTGCTAAAATCAACTATGGAGCAACTTTAAGTTATTTTTTTCTCTTCTTTCTCAACAGTTTTTTTAAAATCTAACTTTTTATAGGTTAAACAATTAGAGCAAATATGATGAAGTAACTTTGTCTGCTGACAACCAGAGCATTTGATTAATGGTTGGTTAGAAAATTCTTTGGTAAATTTTCAGGTACTCGGACCACGTCCTTTTTTTATACGAGTGGATGATTTCCTGCGAAATGGAACTGCCATAATATATTAATTTTTAATTCTTTTTTTAATGCCAAGTTAAATATTGGTGAAGTGAGCAGGATTCGAACCTGCGGGTCTAAAGACCTCCTCTTTAGCAAAGAGGTGCGTTCGGCCTCTCCGCCATCACTTCTTTTTCTTATATTATTATTTTAGACCTCAGTGTTTTATTTTTTCGCAAAACAATCGCTTCCTTTTACTTCCTAATTCTGTTAATTTCCATTTTTTATTTTAAGAGTTGTTATTAACCTATTTAATCTTTTTTAAAATAAATTAAATGAAAAAAACTTCTTTAAACAAAGGATTTAAACTAATTGTTCTAGCATCCTTATTACATTTAATAGGAATTATTTCATCACTGCTGCGTGCCAAGCAAGAAGTAACTTTTAGCCTTACCTTTCACCTCCTCCGATTCTTTTCTTGGTGGTCAGTTCACGCTTCAATTTTAACCATTCTAGCGATGATTTTAATATGAAGAGAGAGGAAAACTACCTCTTCTTATTTTTCTCAACTTCTTATTTTTGTTGCAACAATATATAATTTAATCACTTTCTGTTTCATTTCAGGTTACTTTTTGACCGGAAAAATTAAAAGTTATGATTTATGGCTAGACTTGCAGTTATTTAGTTGGCATTTTGCTGGTCCGTTTTTAACCATTTTCTATTTTTACTTTTATGCTCAGATAGACAAATTAAAAGAAAAATTAACAAAAATAATAATAACTTTATCATTAGCCCTTACTTTCCCAGTCTCTTATTTTTTTTATGTTTTCACCTTGGCTAAAGTCCATAGAGGTAATCTGGAAGGCAGTTTATTTCCCTACATGGAGAAGTATCCTTATTACATTTTTGAATGAATAGCCGACAACAGTTGATACTGACTTATTATTAACTTTTTAATTGCTACTTTGGTATATCTTTCTCTTTGTTTTCTAATAATTTGAACTAAATCGCTTATGAAAAGAGAAAAATTAAAATAAAATTTTACGGGATTAAACCTCTTTTTTTAGCAAAAAATATTTAATTAACGGGAATGAACAAAAAAAAAAAAAAAAAAATAGTCAGTTTAATTATTGTTTTACCTTTGATAGCAGGAACTATTTTTCTAGTTTATAGAAACAATTCTACTAAAACTGAATCAACTTCTCTTAACCAGAACCCTGTAAATAAGGATAACCTACCGTCCGACCAACCAAATGATTCACCTCAATCTCCTATAATTCCGACCTCGGAAAGAAAAGAAAGAGTAAGGCAATTGTTAGCCGAAGGAAATGAATTTTTACTAAAAACTAATCCAAAACTGGTTCCGATTCCGGATGATTTTATTGGTGAATTACTGGAAAAAGGCTATAAAAGTGCCGGTGATATTCGGAAACTTTTTGACTGAGGAATAACTTCTGCCCAAGATATTCCCGACCTAAATTCTACTAAAAGAACGGGAGTAATAAAAAGTTTAGAAGTTATAGAAACCGCAGAGGATAAGGAAAAAATTAAAGAAAATACCTTCTTTTTTCTTCTTCCGAATTCTCCAAATCAAGAAGGAAATTGTAGCGATTTAGTAGTTATCGTGCAACAAATCCAACCAGAACAAAATGGCCCAATAATAAATATAGATGGAAGAATTATTTCCAGTGGACCTGAAATTCCTTATATTAAAGAAATCGTTAAGCAGGTCTTGATTTGGGAAACTGACAATCCTAACCAGTGGCAAGTTTCCATTTTAATTGTTAATGATTTAAGTGTTCCGCAAGGAGGAAAATCCGGCGGAACCGCCCTTTATCTAGGTTTATTATCGGCTCTCTATAAGAAACCTTTACCTAATGATTTAGCATCGTCGGGATGCTTAGAAATTAAGAAACGGGAAGTATCAGGAGTAGCAAGTTTGAAAGCGAAAATCGAGGCAGCCTTCAACAAAGGAGTAAAAAAGTTAGTCCTCCCGCAGTGCCACTCTCTACCAAACTGGTCCGAGGGTGATATTTTTCTTTCCCCTGAGAGTTATCAGCAGCAGGTTCCTTCTGAAATTAAAGATAAAATAGAAGTTCATTGAGTTAAGTATATCAGTGATTTAAAAGAGGTCTTTTCAACATTAACTTCTCAATAATTATAACTAAAAATTAAAAAACAATGATTATATGAGTGAGAAGATTTTTAAAAGAGATTTACCTAACCAAAAGAAAAACCGATTTGAATTTAGTTTTCAAAATAAAGAAGTGATATTTGAAATTGACCAACTAGCCAGCAAAAGCGATAAATCTATTCTTTGTCGTTATGGTAATACTACCGTTTTGTCAGTCTTAACAGTTAAGCAGTTAACAAAAAATAATAATTCTTTTTTTCCTTTAACTATTACTTTTGAAGAGAAGTTTTACGCAATTGGAAGAATCCCTAATGCTTTTGGCAAAAGAGAGGGCAAACCTAGTTATGACGCAATTACTTCTGCTCGACTAATTGATCGTTCCCTACGAAGTTTTTTTCCTACTTCTGGCAATCAGGAAGTTCAAATAAATAATTCGGTTCTATCAGTAGACCAAGAATGCGATCCACGAATAGTAGCCATTTGAAGTTCTTTTTTAGTTTGCTTTCTTTCCCAGAACCTACCCTATTTCCACACTCCCCTGGCCGCCGTGATAGTTGGACAATCAGAAGATAATTTTGTCTGTAATCCAAGTAATGAAAAATTGAACAATTCTCCCTTGGAATTAATCGTCAGTGCTACCGAGGAAAAAATTGTCATGCTTGAATCAGGAGCCCAAGAAATAAGTAGTGAAGAATTAGCCAAAGCAATAGAATTTGCTCACCGCGAAATCCAACTACTAATTGGTTTTTTCCAGCATATTGCTAGTAGTTTAGGAATTAAAAAAAAAGAAATAGAAAAAAAAGGAGATTTTAATGGTGAGGATAAGTGATTAGAAGAGAAAATAAATCTTCATTTAGGCGAAACACTTTTGGACTCAAATCTTTCCTGAATAGAGAAAGAAAAAAGGATGAAAGAAATTCGCCAGGATTTAACCAGAGAAAAGTGCAAAAAAAATCCTCAACTAGAAGAAGTCTATGTCAAAGATTTTGTTGAACAAGTTTGAGACAATAGTTTACGAAATTGAATGCGAAAATTATGAAAAGAAAAACAAGTGCGTTTGGATGGTCGAAAAGCAGATAAAATTCGCCCCCTAGAAATCCAAATTGACTATTTACCAAATGTTCATGGGAGTGCAGTATTTGCCCGGGGAGAAACCAAAGTTCTCTCCGTAGTGACTATTGGTAAAATCAGTGAAAAACAATTAATTGATAATATTTTCTCTCGCTCCTATAAATACTTTATCCACCACTATAACTTCCCTCCTTTTTCAGTCAATGAAATTGCTAGTTACCGTAGTGTTTCAAGGCGAGAAATTGGTCATGGAGAATTAGTTGAAAAAACCTTCGATTACTTAATTCCCCACAACAATATCTTTCCCTACACAGTAAGAGTAGTTTCGGAAGTTCTTTCTTCAGATGGTTCTTCCTCTCAGGCCTCAATTTGTGCGACCTCTTTGGCTTTAATGACTGCCGGAATTCCTCTTCTAAGGCCAGCAGCAGGAATAGCCTTGGGACTATTCGAAGGACAGATTTACACTGATATTAATGGCTTAGAGGATAAGTTAGGAGAAATGGACTTTAAAATTGCCGGCACTGAAAAAGGCATTTGTTCGGTACAATTAGACGTCAAAAACCAAGGTATTAGCCCTGAATTGTTAAAAGAGTGTTTAGAAAAATCCCAGCGGGCCCGCCTCTATCTGTTGGAGGAAATGAAGAAGTACATTTTCCATCCCCGTCTGACTTTGCCAGCTCAGGTTATCAAATGTCGAAGATTTTATGTCGGACAGGAAAAGATCGGGTTAGTCATTGGACCCCGTGGTAAAACTATTAATCAATTAACTGAAAAAAATGGAACAACTATTGAGGTTCAAAATGACGGCCACATACTAATCTATCATCAAGAAGAAGAAGAATTAGAAGCAACTTTCCGAGCAATTCAAGACATAATTAGAGGAAGATAGGGAGAAATGACAAAAACGAGAAAATGTTGCAAAACGCCGAAAAGAAATAAGTTCCGGGAAATTTTATAAATTTTTTATTGCCTTTCTTATCTTTATATTTTCTAATTATGTCCAACCGGTTAGTGCTTGCCTAAAGTTTCCTATAGTTATTTCATTAAGTTTGTGCAAAGGCATATAAACTCTCGCAAATTGACATTAAAATTATAAATAATAAAGTGCCTATGATCAGAAGAGAGAGAAATAGCAAATTAGAATAATCTAAAAATATTCACTACCTAATTTGCTATATTTTGGATTAAGTTCTGTGTAGTGATTTTAAAAAGGCACTAAAAATAACAACGAAATGAAATATGGAAAGAGAAAATTTAATACCTAAAACCGAAACGGTTTATGAAATAAAAAATGAAATTCCTGACTGAGAAAGAAGAAAACAAATTCATCTTAACAGCATTAGAGTAAATAATGATTGTCAATATTTAGAAAGATTTGAGAGTGGAATAAGAAATCAATTGCGTTTAACTGATGAGATATTAGAAAATTGCACGACATCTGAATTTCGCTGAGAATTAAAACAGGAATTTAACAAGTGAATAAAAGCGGTAGGAATTGATTTATACAATTGTCCCGAAAAATTAAAATATTTTCTCTTTGAAATTGCCGAAGTATTGGAAGCGGGAGGAAGAAAATTAGAGGAAGAAACAAAAATTGATCCTAATTCTCCTGAATATGTTGAACAATTAAGTAGAATTTTTGCTGCTATACAAACTCCTTTAGAGAGTGAAAGAAATCATGAGACTCTTTTTAGAAAAGAACAAAGGCAAATTAGTCAGCAAATATCAGAAAGTTTTTGTCAAGAGGAGCCAGTAGTTGCATCAACATCTTATACTAAGTATCATGCAGGAGAAAGTAAAAGAGTGATAAAAATTAATAAGAAAACTAAGATAAAGGGTTTTCAACACCTAATTCATGTCGGTAATGACTGAGCAGACAGGAATGATGCTCCAACCAGAACTGCGAGGAGCGAGTTATGAGATGAAAGTACATCGATTTATAATGATAATGACCGTTTACAGTTTGGTAGTATTACAACTTCCGCAGGAGGGAATAAGGGGATAGGTGGAGCAATAGCAAGTGGGGGAGTGGATTATTCGACACTTAGAATCGGTGATGATAATAGCGAGATGAAATTTTTGAGTGCTTCAGTTGGAGGTGAACTTGGAGCAGGACTAGGAGGTATCGTGGCTGGATATTCATTAAGTGCGGATGTGGCAAGTGTACGAGCAGGAGGTTTTCAAGCAAATGTAGGATATGATGGCGGTAGTGGTTTAACAATTGGTCCCGGTGGTGTTGAGGCTAAAGTAGCTGGTCTTGGTATTAGCATTGGTAAAAAAATGGGAATAAGTACTCCAATTGGAGGAATATCTATCGATTTAGGAGAAGCTTGTGTTGTGCAGTAAATGTTATAAAAAAATTCCTAAGGGGGAGGAAATTACTAAAGTCCCTAATTTTTGGAGGCCGAGTAAATGAGGGAAGCAAATCCAAATAATTTGCAAAAGATGTGCCATTAATCAAGATATAGATGAGTTATTTGTTTTTTTTATTATCTTTTCTGTCTTTTTTCTATTCTCGTTTATATTTTCTATTTATTTATTTTTCACAGGACAAACCCAAAAAGCATACGCCAATCTTCCCACAGTTGTTATAAGTTTTGTAGTGTCAGTGACTTTTGGTATTTTTTTGATTAAATATATAAAGAAAAACAGACTTAAAAATTTTGAAAATAGAAAAAAGACAAGAAAAAGGAAGTAACAAAAATATAATAATGAATGATATCAACCAACAAAGGGGTAATTACTATATTATTGCCGACCATTTGCGAACTGCCATTTTTGCTTTGGCAGATGGAGCGGTTTTTGAACCAAAAGGACGGGGCTATATTCTCAAAAAATTAGTGAAAAAAGCCACTTTGTTAGCCTACTTGATTAATTTAAACAGCGAGCAACTACAAAAAATTAGTGAAAAATTGATTGAAGTTAATTCTCCTTACTACCGACACTTGAAAGAAAAAGAAGGATTGATAATCAGAGAACTAAAAAAAGAAATAGATAAGTCAACAAAGTTTATTAGCAAATCAAACCGAGAACTAGACAAGTATTACAAGCCTGAAATTACTTCCAAAAACATATTTTTTTGATATGACACTAAAGGTATCCCTTTGGAATTAATCCGCTTTTTCTTAAAAAGAAAGAATTATATTTTTCCAGAAGAAGAATTTAGCAAGTTGTTAGAAGAACAGAGAATAAAAGCCCGCAAAGACAGAGAAAAAAGAAAAGTAGCAGTTTTTTAAGAAAAACTAGAATTAACTGTTAAAGTAACAAAAATTTTCTATATGGTGCGACCGGCTGGGCTCGAACCAGCGACCTCACCGTTATCGGCGGTGCGCTCTACCAACTGAGTCTACGGTCGCATTTTTTACTTTAAATTACTTCACTATTTATTTTTCTACATTAGTATAAAAATTACTGCTACTTAATTGTTTCTTTAATTCTTGATAATAATCTATTTCCTCTTTACTAACTAATTGGCAAGGAAGTAGAGTTTTCCAAAAACTTTTTTCTTCAATTACTACTATTTTTCTGTTTTCTTTTACAATATTTTTTACTATATGTATCACCTCTTTATCGGAAGAAAATAGTTCATGCTCGCCCTCATTATAATTTATTTTTTCTCAAATTTCGGGCGGTAAAATGGTAAGAAGAAGTTCTTCTAAATCACTTTCTCCCTGTAATTTTAAACTATGAACTGGTTGAAAATAACTAAGAAGTGAAGTAAAAGGAATTTTTTTTAATTTTAATTGTTTAATCATTTCAGCGGTAGCATTACCATTTTCTAAATAAACTCAAATCCCGAAAGGAGCTTGGTAGAGAGATTTTTGAAATAAATTATTTACCTCTCTGTCTGCTCTAAACTTTTCCCAAATCTGATAGACCTTTTCCTTAGGAAATTTATTTTCTCGAGCAAGGTTCAATGCTTTTTCATTCACTGCTCCTTTCTCTCGAATAATATTCTCTATTTTTTTTCGCAATTTGAGAAAGAGTTGGCTCCGGGCACTATCCTGCCGGTCTTTACGATATTTAATGTTTGCCGAATGAGAATGACCTGCCATTATTTTTTAAATTTAAAAATTTGAAAAGTGATTTTATTTCTTTTTTAATGATTTTCCTCTCTTTCGTCTCCAAAATATTGCCAATAAAACTGCCAATATTAACATTACTATCCCGCCCCCAATCATTCAAAAGAATTTTTGCTCTCTCTCTCTCTCTCTCTCTCTCTCTCTCTGCTTTATCTTCTAAAATTTTATACTCTTTTATATATTCTAAAACCTTAGGATGGAGGAGTTGACTTAAATCTCCCTCTTCTTTTTCTTTTAGTATGTTCCTAATTTTGGTAGAACTAGTTCCTACATCATCACTACCAGTCACAAATCAAACACGTTCTTTTCATTCGCTACCGGGACCACAAATAGAATCAAGAACATTTTTACACTTATTTTTCCACTCTGTATCATTGCTGTTTCTACCAACAACAACAATGTCATGTCCGCTTTCAATCATTTTTTTAAATCTACTTGCTTCTCTCCTACCTCGCTCAAGCTCTTTTTCTTCTTCTCGCTTTGGTTGTCTTAGGATAAGGTCATCTCCACATAGATACATAATTTTAATTTCTCCATAAAGGACTTTCGAGATTTTTGAATTTAAGAAATTTGACAAATTTTCTACTACTTCTATATTGGACACATGACGTGACAATATTTTAGAATTTTCTATTCCTCATTTGTCAATGCTTACTAGCAAGTTTTCTTTCACGGCTAACTCGGCCATTTCAACCCGACTATTACCATCGATCGCCTCCTCTTTCAGTTTTTTTTTAAGATAGAAGTCAGAAGTGGGAGAAATATATCCTGCCACTACCCCTTTACTAGGGTCTTGGGTTTCTATTTCTTTTTTGGCTAATTCGAATATGTTGACATGCTCTTTATGAATGGGGTTCATAGAACCAGTAGTGATAAGTGCTACCGGAGTTTTGGAAGGTGATTTTGATTTAAGAACTTGTAAATTTGCTAGAAGTTTTTTAGTCGGTGTTAGAGAATATTCTCCTTCCTTTTTTTCCTTACTAATTTTTTCAAAATCCTCATTTTTGATATTACTGATGGTAGTTTTAACTTGGTAAACATTTTCGCCTTGTAAATCTCTATTACTAGCATAGTCAGTTGCTACAAAAATCTTGTCCGAAGGTAAATTTTTCACAGCTTCCGAAAGGATAATTGGATTATCGTCAATCATCATATCAAAATCGGGACGATTTTCTTTTATCCAAGGCCATTTGTGAAAATAAGTTCCGGTATTGGGAACGAAAGCAAGCATTTCCATTTCGGTCCTAGAAAGTTCTCCGAATGACTTTTGGAACTGTCTAAATTTTTTCTCGTTGAACCCACTGGGATTTCTTACTTTACTAGTGTAGGAAAGAAAAGTCAACTTCTCGATCAAATTTTCTTTGTAGGCCCTCAATACCTCCTCGGCTATGGATGAAAAAGGCTTTTGCAAACCAAATCGTTCTGGATTCTTTCTGATATCTTCAAACTCTTTGCTTAACTCCTCTTTAAAATAGCCTTCTTTTCAAATTGAGAAAATTAAATCAACTGGAATTGGACTAATGGTTTCTTTATCTAAAAGCATTTTATACACTGCTGCTTTGGTAATTTGCACTGTCTCATCCCAATCGCAAACAATTTTTAGTGGCCTACCTTTCCTTTCTTTTTGTTCCTTGATAAAGTTGTAAAGTGAGTTGATTTTAGTCATAAAATTAGAATTGGTAAAAAAAGAGAAATCAGAATATAACTTCTTTGATAAAAAGTTTATCGTTTAGAGTATTGTTCTTTTTTGCGAGCTTTCTTGAAACCAAATTTTTTTCTCTCCACTCGACGAGCATCACGGGTTAGAAGAGAAAAACTTCTTAGAGTTGTTCTATATTCAGGAGAAACTTTTAATAAAGCCCGAGCCAAACCTAATCTAATCGCGTCGGCTTGACTATGAAAACCGCTCCCTCTTACTCTTATCAACAAATCATAATCTTTTTCCTTGCTAAATAATTTTAATGGTTGGTAAATATCTTTGCAGAGGAAAGGTTCCATATAAAAGTAATCTTTTAAATCCTTTTCTTTTCCATCTTTGGTTCTGACTTTTGCTTGTCCTGTTCCTTCTTTTAAATAAACTCGAGCAGTGGCTTCCTTATCCCGCCCTACTCCAATGAAATAATTTTTATTCACATTCATAATTAATTTTAAGTTGTTCTTTCGTCATGAAAATTCATGCTTCTGGTTCTAATTCCCTAACCTCTTCTATTTGCGGTATATTTTCTTTTGCCATGAACTCTATATTATTTATTTTACTTTCCCTATCCGCTTATTCAAGGACCACTTTTCTTTTTCAAAAAATCACCAAGATAGTATAAGTATACCGCCTGCCACTAATATTAATGAACCGCCAATTAGTCAAGGGGTTGAACTGTAAGGCTCGGTATTTAGATTTACATTCTCTTGCCAAATTAGTCCTTGATCATCTCTTTCTAGAAATATCTTACTTCTATCTAATCCTTGGCTTCAATCCAGCGAAACGTGTTGAATAGTCTGCCCTGAAAGAACTTTAACTTTCCTTTCACTTTTAGGTTTTTGACACTCTTTTACATGAAAGTTTAAGTCTGCCAAAGCCTGCTTTTGGGCTAATTCAACTTCGCCGATACCCTTGTCTCATAAAATCTTTTCTCAGCAGTGCGAACAAGAATAAAAATTCCTAAGATTAGTTTTTCTTACTTCTTCTCATTCCTTCTGAGTTACTCCTTCAATCTGATTAGAATTATCTTTTCGAGAACAAGTCTTTTGATGATTTTCTATTTCAGTTAGAACTTTTTTCTTAGCAATCGAGTAGTCAAGTTTTTTATCTCAAACGAAAGCCTTTTTACAATAAGAACAACAACTTTCCCGATGATAATTTTTTGGTTTTAATTCTTTCCATTCTTTCAATACTCCTTGACGTTCCTCTTTTTGGACTGGTTTTAAAACTTGTCAATCTTCACCATAAAATTCTTTTTGCCGCGGAGTTAAAGGCTTATCAGGAGTAGGAAGAGCAGGAACGTTTTCTTTATCATCATCAATTTCACTTAATTTCTTTTCTAAATCGCTTAGTAATTTTTCATTCTCAGTTTTCTTTTCCTCTCAGATAATTTTTTCTGCACTATCTGAATGAGCCTTGGCAAGATTTTTTAAATCATTAATCGCTTTTTCTAATTCCTGTTTAGTAGCACCTATTTTAGCAAAGATAGTTTGGGCATTAGCAATTATTTGACGAACTTGAGAAAGTTTTTTTGCTCTTTTCTCGGTAATCTCCGTAATTACTATACTTTTGTAATTTTTGCGTTCAGTATCTTGGTCGGCCAAACTGAGTAACTTGGCTTGATAATCTGAATTAGTTAATTCCTGAACCAAAACAATTGGTTTTTTGTTTAATTCATTTTCAATTTCTGTGATATCTGACTGAAATTTGGCTCGGCGGTGTTTGCTTTCTATCTCCTGCACTTTAGTTTGGCGGAAACTTTTAATTCAGGCATGATTTTTACTATCAGGCACTCTTTCCTCTTCATATTTAGTTGCATCATCTTCGCTAATTAAATCAGTTAAAGTTTTTGCTTCTTTAATATCCTTGATAATACTATTTACTTTATCTAATTGTTTTTGACAAACTTTTACTCCACAAAAATTGTAATCAGTTTCTCCAAAAGAAGTGTAAGAAGGAACATTGGCTTTATCTCCGGTCCAACTAAAATGAGTGTCTTCCCAATGATTTACGAAAACTTGGCTGGCTTTATCGGGTGAAATATCATTTTTACGATACTTCAATATTTTTTCAGTATCAGGTTTATTTTCTCCTGTATCTTCTGTAGCAACGGTTGGTAGATTTCTTCTTGTTGCCAAAGAATTAGCATGATTTACTTCTTTAGCAAAATTATCAACCCAAATTTCATCTATTGCTTCACTAAGAGTTCATTCATGAAGGTAAAATTCTTCCCCTTCAATTTCAGCATAAAAATCCCCGGCTTCATCTACAAAAATTATAGCTGGGTCATTCAATCCTTCTTTTAATCATTTTACTAGCAATTCAACCCCTAATTGATAAAAATCATCTCCATTCCAGCGGTTTCTAAAATCATAAATTTCATTATCGCTGAGAGAAACTTCAGGATATTCATTTTTAACTTGACCAATAAACTCTGCCCGGTCCAACTCTCTTCATCTTCTATCAAGGAATTCAAGAACATTCTCTTGTTTATAATTGTCTGGCAAAAAGTTATCTTCTAAACCCTCAATCTCGTTATATCGAGGATAATTAAAAAGTTGTCTAGCCTGGGTTTTGCTTTTAATATCTTCCAACAAGCCTCTTACTAAATTTAATTCTCCTTTTCTAACCCTGCTAGGATCAATATAATCAATAATACTCAAAATAGGATCAGAAGGGTTGTAAGGGTTAATTATATCAGTAAATTTAGCATAAAAAATGCCAGCGGCAGCAGAAAAAATATATGAGTGAATATCATCTGGTTCTCAACCATTATCTTGTCATTCTCGCTCTTTTTTACCATCACCGCCAGTTTTAGCAAGCCATTTTTTGTAGCGGTCATTTTTTTGTTCTTGATTCAGTTCCCAGTCAGTAACAATGGAACTAGGACTACCTTCTTCAAAGTTAACTTTAAACAACTTTAATTCTTTGGCATCCCTCCTTTTTTTCATCGCTTCCTTTTTCAGTGTAGATTTTACTAAGACTTCATCATAAACTTCAAGTTCCAGACCTCGTAAATAATCTAGGTTCTCGGCTTCTTCAATATCCTTGTATAACTGGTGAACCTTATCCATCTCAGTTGGGCTACATTTAACTAATTCAACATCTTTACTTGAAAGCGGACCACGAGCGGTATTAGTTGTATATCTAACCTTTTTTTGCCCTAAATTAGTAATAATATTTTTATAACTTAAATTTCTCCACCCAAGGTTCCAAGCAATGCGTGCTTCCGCAAGGGTAAGTCCGCTTTGGTTCTTTCAGGCCTTTTTCTCTTTATTCTCAATAATGCCCCGAGATGAGAAAAATATTTCTCATCTAATTTCCTCTTGGAAAGTTTTAATTTGAGTAAGATTTTTGGCTTGATTAATTTTTCCTTTTTGAGTATCGGTTAATTCTGCTTCTCAATCCTCATCCTCCGCAAACTTTTCGATGGCTCTGGTATAAACCGCCTCGGCTTGCTGGTATCCTTCTGCCTCATTGTAAGTAGATTTTCACCAGTTTTTATCAGTATTTTGGTTAATTGCGTGTCTTTTGAAAAATTCTTCCCAAGAACCATGTATGGCACTAATTTCCGCTTGGATTTCTTTTAATTTTTCTTCACTTTCAGCACTGTCTATCTTAGTTTTTTCTGGTTCAGAAAGTTCAAAACCCCAGTCATTTCCTTCCCGGTCGACAAACTTCGCTTCCATTCTTAATAATTCTAATTCCCTCTTTTTAGCAGCAACTTCTTTAGATAATCAAGCACAAAACTGTGGCCTCGATAAATTATTGTGTTCAATACCATCATCCAATCTTTTTGCCATTAATGCTCGAAGAGGATTTAAAACCGACCTAATACCATTTAAATCAACTCTTCCGCCTCTTCCTGGAAAATTAAAACCAGTCACTGGATCCTTGTCAATTGCTTTTTGTAATATCTCTCGGGCTTCTAAATACCGCTTTAAATCATCTAAAGTCTCATCTGTCCTTTCCCATTTCCTTCACGCCAAACTGCGGGGATAATTATCATCCTCATAATCTCTTATTTCCTGATAATCCTCAAAATCTTTCAATGCTTTTATTCTTTCCCTAATAGCCTCATCGGTCTCACTAGTAATACCACTATCAATTTTTTGGCGAGCACTTTTAACAATTTTTCCCAGTTCCACCATTGTTCCCAAATATCTATCACTTTTTCATGGCTCCGGAGTTGCTACTTCTTCATTTACAATCCTACCAGCAGTAGACACTAAACACTTTAAATAGCAATTATTAATCTCCCTCTCTAATTTTTCAAATTCCTTATCAATTTCCTTCCCTCTTTCTGTAAAATTTGGATTTTTAATACTTCGAATGTTATTTTCTCAATTATCACCCAGCACCTCGTTTTTGGTTTGGTCTAAACTTGCTTCAAATCTCCCCCAAAGATTATTTACTTCTTGAATTTTCAAGTCCTCAGTAATTATTCACCATTGCTCCTGTCTTAATTTTTTTAAATCCTCTATTCCAATTCCAACTGGTAGAACATCATTAGTTTTAAAAACACTATTTTTCAATTTATTTTCCAGGGATTTTATTTCTTTAGAAATTTGTTCACCAGTTCTAAGTTGCTCTAATGAATTCGCATTTTCAATTAATTTTCAGATTTCTAGTGCTTTATCAACATTTTCTTTTTTGTGTTCCAGTAAATTTACTTCCACCGTTTTTTCATGGTTAGTGTAATTATACTTTCCCCGACCTACTTTTACAAATTTTTCTGGCCCCTCAGAATTACCAATATGGTTTCAGCCATTATTAAATGCATCATCACACTCGCTATTTTGGACAATTTTAACTCCTAAAGTTCTTAAACCCCTTTTTTCTTTTCTTTCCGGACTTAAACTACTATTTTGCCAAGCCAACTGGTCGGCTTCGGATAAAACTTTACCGTTAAAAAAATCTTTTCACCATCCGCTTCGTCGATTTTTAACTACCTCTCTTAATTTATTGATTACTTCCTCTGGAACATCGGTTCTTAAATCATCAAAATATTCCTCAGTATAAATAACTAAATCATTCTCATTTTTGGTTGGGATTTCTCTAATCTCCTGGGAAATTCTATCTATTGTCTCTCTTTTGGCACCAACAAGACTTGATAGATTAAGGTCTTTCAATTTCTCCCCAGTCAGCCATTCATAATCAATAAGACCTGAACCTTTTAAAGTAATATTTTCACTGGTTAAATCCGCTCATCCATTTGCAAGGGCTTGCTCGGCAGTAGACCTTACACCCGAACTGGCAGATATAGAAAGCCCTGAAGCATATCAACGTTTTTGATTTTGGGCTTGGGCTTCTGAAATAATTTTACCAAACTCATTCTTGTTGAAAAATCTTTTTCACGCACTAAGTTCAACAAGACAATTACCAATAGCCTTAGGACTTGATAACTGTTGAAGGTTTTTTATAATAAAATCCGTTCACTTTCCTTTATGAGACCTTTTGGCGGCTAAAAACTCTTCTAAATCTTCATCAGAATTTCCATCCAGAAAAAGGCACTCTTTAACTTCATAAATTTCAAGCAATTTTCTTTTTACTAGTTTTTTTTCATCATCCGAGATTTCGCCCTCTATTTCCAATAGACCAGTGTCTATTTCATGCAACTCATCTTCATCTTTAACATCCCTAATTCTTTGCACTAGGTCCTCAAAACTATTTTCTTTTGGTTCTTTGTTTTCTTCATTTCTCGGCTTATCTTCCCCATTTTTTACAAGTTTTTCCTCTATATATCTAATCAAAATATTGGTGTAATTTATTAAACTTGGAATATCCCTATAATCTTGAATACTCTTTTTTCAGTCATTTTCCCCCTCATGATCATCATAAATACCATTGATTTGTTCATTACTAAATTCATAACTTTCAACTTTGGCAATGAAATACTCTTTGGCTCTAGTTAATAATCAGGCTTTTCTATTCAAAAAATCGTCGTCCCTTTGACCAAAAACTTCTTCCCCGTTGTCAATTAGATACCTTAATCTTCTAGATTCTCCCCTATCTTCATAAACTTCGGCCTCTATCAGTCGTTCAACTACCGCTGACCCCTCTGTTTTTATTCATTCTAACTTTTCAAACCACTTTCCATGAACTTCCTCGGAAAAGTCTTCGGAATTATCATTCTTAATTTCCTCAATCAGTCCCTTTACTTGAATTTTTAGATTTACTAATTTCTCTTGATCTGAAAGTTCTTCATAACCAGCGAACTCTTCACGTAACTCTCTAATATTACCATCATTCAAAATATCCTCGGGAGTTTTTTCTTTTCTATCCCTTAATCAGGCAGCTAAATTAGCATCATCAAGAGTTAAACCAATATTTATTCAATCCCTAGTCATGTTTGGTGTAAAACCTCGACCTTGCCATTCATTAATCAGTTCCGGAGTGAAGTCATTACTTACCAATTTTCAATCTCCTATTTCAGGTCCACGTTCATCTTCATTATTTTCTCGACTTTTCATGCTAATTTTATAAGTGCTTCTCAAACCAAAAGTTAAAGTTTTTCATTCTAAATCTCCTGTTTTTCTTTCAAAATTAATAGCATTGGCTTCGACAGACCATTCGATATCCGAAATGGTAATCTGGTCGCCGGCGGTCAATCCCAAATAATCTTCTTCTTCAAAATAGTTTTCATTGCCGATATCAAATTTAACTTCCGAAATGGTAGGCCCATCGGCAAAAGAAAAAGATTGAATAGTTAATTTTTGAAGTGCATCTCTTCTTCCCAATTCCGGCGGAGTTTCAGTCAGAGTGAAAGTTAAAGTTTCTTGCTGAGAACCGGCCATCTGAAAGCTTGCTGCACTGTCAACCTTTCAGGCTGGTTCATTTCCTCGATTTAATTCTACTTCCACTATCTGCCAAGGAGCTTTGATTGATAAAAGAGGTCCGTGTCGGCAAAACTTTTCCCTAAGTGACTCGGCTTCATTTACAGGAACTATAATATTTTTAATTTCTTGCTCGCCTTTTTTAAGGAAAGGTCGTAAAACACCGAAACAATGATAATCAACTCCCTCTAAGTTAACATCATCTCCGACTACAATTTGGGCTAAATAGAAACCTTTTTCCTTCTCTTCTTCTCTGTCAACTAATTTCTTTTCCAATTGCTCTCTATAATAATTAATAAAATCGAGATAACTTTTCTCGGCCTCTCGTTTAGTTAACCGGATTTTACCAATGTATTCGTCAACTTCTAGTCCACTAAATTGCTGTAATCCTTCTAATACTCTCCTGATTTCATCTTTGTTTTCGCTGTTACTAAATTTTTCGGCATCAAATAAAATTTTTTCCAGTTCTATTGCGGCCAGTAATTTATTAGCAAAGCCACACAAACGTCCATATCTTTGTTTATCAGTTGTTTTGTATCTGCTAAATCTTCCTCTTCCATCTGCTTCTGTGTATTCATCTTCCGATTCGTACTGACTTTCTCTGTTTGCTGAAAAATCCCGATAATACTGTCTTACCTTTTCGGGAAGTTTAAACTGTCCATTTTCAAATCCATTTTCAAATCCATTTTCAAATCCATTTTCAAATCCTCACTCATTTTTCAACATTTCTTTTATCCTGTCAATGACTTGTGGAAAGCCTTCAACCTCTTTTTTAATCCTTTTCAAAACAAATTTTGAACGGGATTTCCCTAAACCTAATTTTAATAACTGCTCTAATTTTAAATATTCCATATACTTTTTTTGTAAATATTAACTTAACTTCTAAATATATTTTACAAAAAAAAAAAAAAAACAGTGGGGTTTGTGGATTTTAACTATCCCCATCCCACAGGAACTCGTGCTAAAAAAAGTGTGTTACAAATAAATTATTAATGTAAAACTAATTTCGATTTTAACCTTTTTAAAAGTCAATGAAAAAAACTTATCCTCAATTAGAAGCCCAGGGCATTACGAATCAAAAAATTCTAAAAGTCATTCGTCATCTACCTCGGGAGTTATTTGTAGCCGATAATTTAAAGAAAGAGGCTTATTTAGACACTCCTTTGCCGATTGATTGTGGACAAACTATCAGCCAACCCTTCATTGTTGCCTATATGACCGAAAAGTTGGAGTTAAAAGAGACTGATAAAGCCTTGGAAATTGGCACTGGAAGCGGTTTTCAGACCGGAGTATTGGCCCAATTAGTTCAAAAAGTATACACAGTAGAAATTTACCAAGAACTTTCTCAAAAGGCTCAAAAAATATTAGACAAATTGGGTTACAGAAATGTAAGGTATAAAGTAGGGGATGGAAAATTAGGTTGACAAGAATTTGCCCCTTTCGACATAATAATTATTACGGCTGTTACCCAAGAAATACCCTCCCTATTAGTCAAACAATTAAAAACTGGTGGCAAAATGATTTTTCCATTAAGAACTAATATGAGTGAAGAATACTTGACTTTAATGCTTAAACTGCCAGGGAACAAAATTCAGTCAAAAAGACTTATTCCAGTAAGATTTGTGCCACTAATTTAATCATATTAATTAATCTCTACTAAATCTTTCTTAATTAATCCTTGAAATTGAGGACTCATTCTTTTCCAACTGACTAACTCGACTAGAAAAGGCAAATCGCTTTCTTTAAATTCTTCTTCAATTTGAAAAACTAATGCGTCTGATAAATTGTCTTGATAGCAAAGATCGAGATCAGAGAACTTTCGAGCAGTTCCTTTTGCTCGTGAACCATAAGCATAAAAGCGATAAGGATATTTAGTTAATATTTCGTTAATTATTTTTTGGTGTTTAGTTTCTAATTGTAGCATTCGGGAGTTTTTTTTAGTTTACTAATTAAGGAATCTAACTGGATGAGAAAATTAGGTAAAGAGGCAAAAATTTCTTCCGCGGTTTTTCCATCATAAGTATGGCTAGTTAGGTTTCTCTTTTTGGCAAAATCAAATCATACTTCCGCATTATCAATCAAATTTTCTAGGGTTGCCAAACGAAAAATTTCTTTGGGAGTGATGGGGGTTTCCTGAGCTCTTAGTAATAAAACTTTTCTCATTACATTTTTAGCCAACTCAAAACTAACTTCAAAGGCTTGGATTGCTCCTGCCTTCTCATAGTCATTTTTGGCATTTTGGATAATTTCGGCTAAAAAGTTACGAGTGGAGATAAGAGGTTTAAGGTCTAATTTATCTTTCATAGGTTATTTGTTTCTTTTTTTTGCCTCATAAATAGCCAATTATAACCGCTAAACTAACTATCGCAATTCCGCCAATTATTCAGGGAATTTTAGAGTTATTGGACTGTTGTTTGTTTTCAATTGAACTATTTTGTAAAATTGTTTGTAATTTATGAGCATTTTCGGTATTTTCACCTTTTTTAATTAAGTTTTGAGTATATTCCAAAAAATCCATTAATAAAGTTCCTTTAAAAGAGTCAATTCTGATTTTCTTTTCTTTAATCCCTTGGACTAACTTGTTGAATTGTTGGTTAGTTAAATTATTCAGGTTTTTAGCTGAAATAGGATTATTTTGTAAATTTATTTTTTCCAAGTTAGGAAAATTCACAAATAATTGGGCGAAATCTATCTCTGTGATCTGATTACCAAAAAGATTAATCCCTTTCAATTTTTCTTTGTTGGGCAAAGTATTTAAGAAATTTAAGTTAGTGAACTGATTATTAGAAGCATTTATTCCTTTTAAATTGCTGAATTCACCAGTTAATTGCTTATTTTGGTTATTACAGTTCTCACATTTACCTTGTAAGTTTTGGTGGCAAGTTGAACACTGATAGCCTTGTTTTTGAAAAAGAATGTATTCTTGAATATTGCGAGACATATGATTATTTTAACTCATTTATTCCTACTAAAGTGGCAATTATGGGAGAATTAAACTTAAAATTAATTATAATCATGTCTCGTCCCGTCTCGTCTGAGGTTTTAGCAAAAAAAAAAAAAAAAATAATTTTATTAAGTAAAAAGGCATAGAAAGAGCCTCTAATGTGCTAGTTTTGAAATGTTAGAGGAAAGGTAAAAGACTCAAGTTAACTTAACAAAATTTCTTAAAAAAATGTGAAAAAGATTTTTATTTTAGTAAATAAGGATACACCAAAAAAGATTTTCAAAACTGAGGAAGGAAAGGAGGATTAGTTTTTAAGTATTCTTCTAATACGGAGAGGCAAAAGGCTTATCGGAGGAGGAAGATGCAAGCGAGAATAGAAACTGGATTAGTGAGTGGAGTTTTGAATATGGAAACTGGGAGAATGAGGAAGTATCGGAATAGTGCCAGTAGGCAAAGAGCATGGCGAGAAGGGAAGAAAGCAAAGGATAATTAGGCATTAGCAAAAGTGCCAATAATAAACATTATCAGACAATTTCTTGATTATTTGCTTGGAGGAATTTGGATTTGGGCCACTTGCTGGCCAGAGACATTCGGTAAGGAAGGTAAAGATTTATTCACATTTAAAGGCAACTCATACATTTTTTGACGATAACTATTAACTTCATTTACTAAACTTTTTATCACTTTACTAACTTGATATTCTTCTCAGTTAACTCTTAAAGAATGAGTAAACTCAACTATTTCTTCGTTCTCCCTTAAACCTTTTTCGATTTCATCCATAATGTCTCAACTGCTTGCTAACTGGTTAACATTACCCTTTTGGACCAAAATTACTTTTTTTTCTAAATCAACCATAGTTGATAAAAATCTATCAAATTTATTATTTACTTCATCAGAACTAGTTGGAGTTGAAGTTAAAGGAATTTCATTCTTCCAAATTTCAATTAATCGGTCGTAATTACTTTTTAATTCCTGAGCCTTTTGCTGAAATTCGTCTTTTTTTCTATCTAACTTTTCTCTTAAATCTTCAATTTTTGCTTCCCATTTTTTTATACCATAATCGCCAGTTCAAGCTAAAACGCCGCCAATTAAACCAAAAGTGGCTGCCGAAGTGCTTAAATTTTGACTATAACTAAGACTAGCCCCCATTATTCCTGTTCCAGCACTTAATCATTTTATTCGTCAAGCCCAAGTAACATGTTTCTGATTATCAGTCATTTCTTGATGTTTAGTCAAGTAAACTTTCCACAAATCGAAAAAATTTTGAATTTCAGTTTGGATGGTCGAAAAATCATTAGTAGAAATAAACAATTTAATCAATTCTTTATTGGTTTCTTTTCAATATTGAAAATCATAATAAGGAACTTTTTGATAACCGCTAGGTGTCATCAAATTAGCCCAACGCACTATTTTAACTCCGGAGACACCATTTTTATCTAACTCTTGAAAAACATTAGAAGAAATTTCACTTAAACTGTCTGATAAATACTCAAAGCCACTGTTTATTTTAGTGTTAACAATAGATAGCGTTTGCAACTTATTTAAATCCTTTAAGGATTGAAGACTACCAATAAAACTGTTATTTGCTAAATAAAGATATTTCAAATTGGAAAATTTGCTAAAAATGTTTATGCTTTGCTCAGGAAATTTGTTATTAGTAAGGTATAAATGGGTTATCTTATTAGAATCTAAGTCGGTAAGGAAACTAAGGTTATTTAACAAATTGTCACTAACATTTAAATTATTAATTTCAGGGCAGTTTTCAATATTCAGGTCAGTTAAAGTTCCTTGCGAACAAACTACACGAGTTAATTTAGGACAGTTTTTTAGAGTCAAACTGGTAAATTGGTTGTGATAACAATCTATTTTCTCTAAATTAGGTCAATTTTCCAGAATTAAATCGCCTTTTATTCCCTTTTTACTAATTTCTAACCAATTAGTTCATTTTCTGGCTTCTGAGGAATATTTTTTATCTAAGTAAGTTTGAACATTTTTATCTTCTTTTCTTAACTCTTCAAGGTCAAGTTTTGAACTAGGTTCATAACCTTTTTCTCTTAGATAACTAGCAAAATAAACCTCGCTAGGCTGTAGACCGATATTTATTCATTTTTCGGTTTGTTGATAACTAAAACGCAAACTTTCTCACACTATTCGTTTCTTGGGGTCAAAATTAGGGTGAATATTTTTTCAGTCTTCTTTAGACTGACGACTAAGAAGCAAACTCTTTATTTTTTCAGTGATTTCTTTTAATTTGCTTTCAGGCCTTTGAGAAGTAGAATAGTTAATTCTCTTAACATTTTTTGGCAAAAACTCAGCACCATCATTGATATCGGTATTGCTGATATTTAGGTCTTCTAATCTAATTAAATTTTCTAAAGACTTTAAGGAGCCGTAAAAGCGATTGTATATTTCTCCTTGACTATCATTTCTAATTATAGTGCTACCGATTCGTAATTCTTCAAGGTTAGTGAAGGGGCTGAAAACAGATATGTCTTGTTTTGGAAGATTATTATTATCGATTATTATACTGGTTATCTTTTGTGAATTAAGATGATTAAGAAAATCAATGTTCTCTAAGTAATTATTATCGCAGTAAAGGACTTTTAAGTGTTTTAAATTAACTAAATTTAGACTAGTAAGTTGATTGGAGGAACAGTCCAACCTTTCAAGATTGATAAAATCGGATAAATTTAATTGTCCTTCTAAATTTTTATTTCGCAGATATAATTCTTTGATTAAAGGTCTCATGTCTTTGGGATAATTTTCATCCAGTCATTGTTGAGAATTAGCCACGATACTTATTTTTGATAAGGATTAACTTGAATTTGAGCCTCATACTGAGCAATATTTTCCTCCCCTTCGATTACTTTTTTGTTGACCATGTCGATGAGTAGGGTTTTTTCTTCCATTTTTTTCTTTAATTCCTCAAAATCTTCAAAATTAATGGCATTTTCCCTTGCTAATTCTACCAGTTCTATTGGTCGATCAGCATTATCTTCTTTTGGCACCACAAAAGCAATTTCTCACTTGCTTTCTCATTGTTTTTTACCAGGTATCAATAAAGTATCTCCTTTCTTAATTGATTTAAGGGTTTCCTCGAGGCCTAACAATGTTAAACAGTAAGCAGGCTCTTTTTTGTTTTTGTTACGTACATGAAATTCTTTTTCAAAGAGTTTGTAATCATCCAATAATACTTTTTTTTGCTCACGTCTCATGCCGGAAATTACTTCTCTTTTTTTCGGTATTTCATCACTTGGCCACCAATCTTCTTCTATTGCGTATCTTGAACCAGTTAGCTTTATTACATTTTTATTTAAATCTAATTTTGCTTTTTTCAAATCAATACCTATTCCTCCCAAAAAACTAACTGAACCAGTTTTTTCATTTATTTTTGGTATTCATCATAATTTAGGGTCTTTATTCCTTGGTCCAAATCAAGCCAAGGGCTCTGCATGACCTTTTTCCACTGCTATCATCACTGTGTCTAATAAAACTTGATTTAAATCTTCCTCGGTATAAATTGCTCGTTGTTTATCCTCATATTTGTGTTGACAACCCTCAACTTCTTCTTGATTAGGGCATGCTGGACATATCCTTGGTTTATAACTGACCGGCACTTTTTCACCATAAGGTAATAAACCTAAGATAGAATAAATGCCATCAATAGGCAGTCCTCGATTACGTTCCTTTACAGCCTTCAATGAATCATATAAACTTAAAAATACCTTGTCTCTTGAATTGTAACCTCTCGGATAGTATACTCAGCCCATTGGGGTAACAAATTTTTCAGGATTGTTATGCAATCTTTTCGCATGGGAGTCAACGGTATCATTATGGTAAAGATAATATTCTACCCAAACCTGAGCTATCATTCTCCCATCTACTAACATATCATCAAACATGAAAATAGTCTGCTTTGATAACAATCCTTCTTGGTAGGTTCAACTCCTAGTAAACCATTGAGAATTTACTATCTTTTTTAAAATATCTTGGGCAAATTCTTTTTTATTTTTTTTGTCTATTGTTCCATTCTTTGTACTAGTATTGATAGGAATCAAAGTTACTTCAGCATTACCATAGTAGATACCCATCTTGGGTACTTCTTGGTTTTGTTCTTCTACACTAGTTTGGTCAATACATAACTGATCCATTCAGAGGTAGTTGATTTTTAGATGCTGACAAACTACCTTGGCTTTTTCTAGTGCTTTCTTTCCTCACTTAGTCATAGTAAGTTCTTTTTCATATTCTGTGCTTCCTTGTTGGTAAATTATTTTTAAATCTTCAGCCAGTTTTTTATCTTTTCTACTTCCTCAAACATATGAAAGGATGGCATAAGACTTTATATTGGGGTTGCCTTGTGTTCACTCTACTTTACCTGTTTTTATGTTGTAGAGTTTGAGGGGTAACATTGATTGTTTTTTCTTGTGATTGTCTGATAAAAAATTAAGTTTATATTGCAGATGAACTTTTTTATAATCGCTTACTTCCTCCATTCTATAATTCTCATCGTTTTTCTCTCCATCAGAAAACTCAGACGGCAAAAGAACATTACCCAAAATAATTGGTTGCTTATCTCTACTTGAATCATTTATTAATTCCCCATCCATCAGTTCTTGATGCGCCATTCTTCAAATCTTTAAACTTTCGCCATAAAGCCATAATTCTTCGCAGATTTTTTTTACTTTTGCTTCGGGTTTTTTCTGAATGTCGAGATATAAATCAACAAATTCTATACTATTAGGCAAGTACTCCAACCCTGAATTAATGTCTGTATCGCTGATGTGCAATTCTCTCAACTTAGTCATATTTTTTATAGGTTTTAAAGAGCCATGAAAAAGGTTTGCACGAATTGTGAGAATTTCTAAGTTGGTAAATTTTTGAAGAATCTCTAAATCTTGTTTTGGAAATTTGTTTCCACTAATGTCCAGAACAGTTAATTTTTCGGGATTGGGTAAATTTTTCAGAAAATCAATAGAACTCAGTTGATTTTCAGAGCAATTTAACTCTTTCAAATTTGGACAATTAATAATCCTTAATTCCTTGTTATTTAGAAAATTAGGGGCATTCACTATTTCTAATTGTGGACAATTAATAATTTCTAATTTAATAATTTTCTTTTTCCTACCAATACTTAGATCTATTTCTCGCAAAATTGGAAAATTTCTAATACTCAATCTACCTTCTTCTTTAAACTTTAATACACTTTCTTCTTTGAATTCTTTGTGTTTGCGTCGACCATTTACCTGAAAAAAATTAATTTCTGTCGCTTTCTTCTTATCAAAATGTTCTTTATCCAATCATTCTTGAGCATCAGTATATACAACAGAAGTTTCTGACTTTTTATTCTCTATTTCTCCCAGTGACAAATTACCAGAAATATCTATTTTTTTTAAATTAACAAAGTCATTCACATCAAACTTACCTTCCAAATTCAGACCACTAAGATCTAATTCAATTAGTTTTGTCCTTTCCTCTTTAGAATAAAAATGATCTAGATAGTATTGGGCATTTTTGCTTGTTAATTCTTCTTGTCTAGTTAGGAGACTATTGATTTCACTTTCTTTTAATGCTACTGATAAATCTCTCCTTGCTCGATCTAATTCTCTCTGAGCAAAAGGAATATTTCCTTCTTTTTTTACAATCCTTTCTTGAGAAGTCAATAATGTATCTATCCTCTTCCTTAAGTCTCCATCATTAATTTTTTGTTTATGACAACTCACCAATCGCGATAACTCGTTTTTCTTAATTTGATATTTTTTTTGATGAATTTTATTTACCATAATGTTTTTTATTTATACTTATATAAGAAATCATTTCTATATATATGTATTTATAAGATTTTGGAAAAATCTCAATTAGATTAGATAACAAAATTAATATTGAAACTGCCCTTGTTGTTGCTGGTATTGTCAATGGCCATTGCCATGCTGACTTCCTACTCATATGACTGGTTGTCATTGATTGTCAATAAGCACTCAATATTCTTCTTGATCTCGTTTTTTATATACAGGTAAACCTTGAAAGCAGTGATTACCATAAAGAAATAATTGCTGACTAGCATTTGTTTGTGCTTGGTCATTTCTACTATACTGCTGGGAAATAGTTGATTGACTTTGAGACCTCTGATTTTGTAACGATTCTAATTCTAACTGGATCGATTCTGGCTTAGCCTTCAAAATGGTGTCTATTTCTTTTCAACTCGGTACCTTTTCAAGAATGCTTCTTGCTGTTTTTAGTTGCCCCTTGACAAAATCATCATCGCCATTTTCCTTAATCTCCTTTTGAGCATCTAATAACGTCTCTAACCAACTCTTTTGAACTTCACTTAGTTTGCTTAATAATTGATGTATTTCTTGCTCTGCTGAGCGACTAACATTATTATTTATTGGTTGCAGCAGAATTGACTCATTCGTCTCCTCGTTATTACTATTTGAACGACAACACAGACACCAAAAAAATCCACAAATAGTCATCAGAGAAAAAATTAGCACGCTGCCAATGCCGACACCACCATAAACTCACTTGTTATTTTTTATATCTTCAAAGGAGGGCGTATTAGGTACTTGAGTAGGAACGCTAGGAGCTGAACTAGGAACATCGGGCAATTTGTCAGGGAGTTTATTAGGAATTGACCCAAAACCGCCAAATTTAGTGAAGAACATATAAATGGCAAAGCCAGCAACTCCTCCAAATATTAAATAGAAGAGCAAAAAACAAATTAGACGATAGGACATAGAATTTTATTAGAATATTATAATTTTATATGGAAAAACTTTTACTAGGCATTAATTTTTCTAAACCCTTCCATTTAAACTGCTTTTTACAGCGATAAAAATCAGACAATTACTTTTCATTTTGGCAATAACTAGTAATTTCCTTAAAAGTTAAATCACAGCCTAGAAATTTCCGGCTTAGTTCCCGACAAATTTCTAAAACTACGAAAGAACCCGCACAAGGGTCAATTATTAAATCTCCTTGGTTAGTTATTAATCCCAAAGTTTTTTAGTTGCTAGGTCTAATTAGTCAAGTTATTAAACCTCTCCACTTTAAAATCTTTTTGTCGTCCAATAGAGAACAATTGACCTTTTTCTTTCAAAGAATTAATATTAATAAAAGTTATTGCCTTACCACTGGCTCCGGCCCGTCCAGTTCGACCAACTCGGTGAATATAAAAGTCCTGAGTCTGAGGAAAATCGTAATTTACTACATAACTAATATTGTCAACATGTAGACCTCGTGCAGCCACATCGGTAGCAATCAGTAATGGTATTCGGTTTTTTTTGAACTGATCGAATACTCTAATTCTCCTACGCTGTGATAAACCACTATGAATATAGTCAACTTTTAAACCTTTTTGCGATAATGATTCTTTTATTTGCTCTACTTTTCTTTTAGTATTAGCAAAAACAATAATAGGTTCATTCCTATTAAGGTTAAGAAAATTAAACAAAAGATGATTCTTTTGAAATTGGCTAGCCTCAATATAATAGTGTTTAATTTTGCTTACCGACCTTTCTCCTTCCCTTTCGGTTTTAATGTATTCTGGATTTTGGCAGAATTTCTGGGCGAAAATGTTTACTGGGGTCGGAGTAGTAGCTGAAAAAAGCAAAGTTTGCCGATTAGTAGGCACTTTCTTAATTATTCACTCTACATACTGCAAAAAGCCTTTGTTAATCATTTCATCCACTTCATCCAAGATTAAAAATTTTAGGTTTTCGGTTTTTAAGTTTCCTTTTTCAAGATGGTCAATAACCCGACCTGGAGTCCCCACTATCACTTCAACCCCCTGACGAAGCAATCTCAACTGACGATGAATAGGATCTCCACCATAAACGGCTAAAATTCGCAAATTTTTATGAGAGGACAATTTTTTAGCCTCTTCGCTTACTTGTAAAGCCAGTTCCCGAGTAGGAACCAGAATAAGTACTTGTGGTCTAGAATTAACTTCCAATTTTTCGAGAACAGGGATGAGAAAAGCAGCAGTCTTTCCAGTCCCAGTTTGGGATTGAGCAACAATATCTTTTCCTGCTAGCACAGGAGAAATGACTTTTAACTGAATATCGGTTAGTTGATAATAACCAATTTTTGATAGATTTTTTTTGGTTTGTTCTGATAAAGGTATATTTTCTAAGTTCATTTATTATTATTCTCAGTATACAATATTTTACTAAAAATTCTTATAGGAAGTGGAGATATGTCCGAGTGGTCAAAGGGCGCAGTTTCGAAAACTGATGGGATAAAATCCGCGGGGGTTCGAATCCCTCTGTCTCCGCCATAATAACTGTATATATAATGTTAATAGTATTTGTTGGCATTCCTGGTTCTGGCAAATCCACTACCATGAAAGAATTAGCCAAATTGTTAAATATCCAACACTTCTTTGTCGAACCAGAAGAAGAGAAATGAGCAGACGCAGCCAAAGATTGAAAAACTTATGGTAGTTTTACCATGCTCATGTGATTTCGTTCTATCCGAGTCCCCATGCTATTAAAGGCTCAAGAATTAAGTGAAAAAGGCGAGACAGTTTTTATCGATACTTATTATGATAAGTTATTACATTATTATATTGATAAGTATTGTATGCGCTGATTAATTTCACCTTCTGACTTTTACTTCGAGCCCATGAAAAAAATTTCTGAAATAGATAATAAAGTTCTGCCAGATGCTAATATCGTTGTTTTTTTTGAGGTTAATAAAGAAAATTGGTTAGAACATTTAAAAGCCCGTGGTCGCAATACCGACAATGAAGAAGTTTTTTTAAAAAACTTTGAAACACAAAAGTTTCTGCTAGAAGCAACCGACAAATATTGCAAAGAAAAAGGGGTAGAACTAATAACTTTTGCCCAAGGTAATTCTTCTATTTATGATTCAGCAAAAAAGTTAAAAAAAATATTAGAAGACAAATTAAAAACTAAAAATTAAATAATCCAAATCATTATTAGTTATGTTCCACAAAAAAAATCTAACTGTCCTGGCCCTTTGTTTGATATTTTGATAGGGGGAGTCATTTATGTCTGAAAAGAAAAAATTTCCCAAAAAGAAAGTAGCAAACCTTCAACTTCTCCTCAAAGTCCCTCTCCTAACAAAAAAACACTTTTAGCAAGAAAAGTTAAAATCAAAAAAACTAGTGATCCCAATATCTTAAAATGAAAAGAAGAAATTGAATATAAAGATGGAAGTACTTCTAGTGAACTTGAAATTAAAAAAGAGAATATTCCTGAATTGTTTCGAGAAAGTTCATTTGAAAAAAGAAACTGAATTGATAATTGAGAACGAGAACTAAAAGATAATTGCTGATTAGTCAAGGAAAAAAGAGAAGATTTAGACCAAATCATTTATTATAGTTGATATGAAAACGATCAAGGTAAAAGATTAGATGAGTTAGGAAGTAAAAAATGATGATAAAAATCATATATACGGAAAATAGACTCAATTTGGCAGAGCGCCCGGTTTGGGTCCGGGAGGTTGTGGGTTCAAGTCCCGCTTTTCCGACCATTTTAGCAAATTTATAAATAATATTGCGAGGATAACAAGTTATTATAACAAAAAATAATAATTATATGGATACGATTCAAGAAATAAACAAACAGTATTTTCGCACTGATCTCCCAAAATTACAAGTAGGCGACAAAGTCGAAGTTATTACTAAAAGACTTAATAAAGACGAAAAAAAAGATGAAAAAGATAAACAACGTTTAACTCACTTTAAAGGCACAATAATTGCCCAAAAAAATAAGCAACAAATTGGTTATACTTTCTCAGTTTTAAAAGAGAGTGGCAAAGTAGTAGTTAAAAGTGTTTTTCTTTACCATTCCCCACTCATAGTAAACATTAAGAAATTAGGTCACATTAATCAGAAAGTTCGTCAGGCTAAACTTTACCACTTAGAAAGAGAATTAGCCAAAAAGAAAGGTAATGAATAGTATCAAAAAAAAAACTTTTTATACCCTTATATAC